GAATTCTCAATACGATGAATAATTACAAAGCAACAAAGCAGACACACATTCAATTCTGTCTACAAACATGTGTGTGTGTGTGTGTGTGTGTGCTTAATCAAATGCATATTTGCATAACTTGTCTACTTAAGCTGAGCTGAGCGGATCACATAAGATTACACAAAAAACCAACTCGGGAATGGAGAAATTATTGCAGTTTGCATTTCCACTCAATGATAATGAATCACATTCATAAGAACAGCAGCGTTCAGTCAGGTGTTAGCTCCCATGGGGCTATTTCCTTAGATATATACGATGCACATGTGTATTTACTATTCTGCAAAGGCTTAAGCTGAACATTAATTAACTATTTAATAGCGAAGCCCATTTGTGTGTGTTTTCAATTTTGTAAGAAATGCTGCCATGTTGCAGGCTATTAATGGACTGCTCATAGAGAATATAGACATATTTTAAGCAGCTTTATTTGCTGTCAGCTTATGGCAGATAACAAACTGAGAGGACTCGAGTCTTTGCTGCAGCTTTATTTTATATGCATCCCTTGCATGCTTAAAGGAAGTCGATTTATATAAAGTCAGACGCTCTTACAGAATGCAAAATATCAAAATCGATTATTATCGATTCATGTTTCTAGCCTTTGTTCAGTTTAAGGCAATCGCAGACAAATGAAGCTTATTAGTTAGACATAAGTTTATATTAGCTAGGCTATTAGATTTTATGAGAGCCTCATGTTCAGGCATGTGGAGGGTTCTACTGATGACTAAACATGCGATTGTCTTTTGATGAAAGCTAATTCAGCCAATGATGTTTTCGCCCCTAGGCTGAATGGTTAAGCATGAGCTGTTGTAGCATTACTCTACAAGTTGACTGCGGCAGAGCATGCAAAATGATCCAGTATAGAGATTTGAGATAAACAACATAGCGTGGGAGACTATAGCAATAGAGATAAGTTATTTTCAGAGAAAAGGCATGTTTATTTCCTTAATATAAATCAATTAACTTCTATTTATTTCTATATATAAATATACGCGTCTATATATAAAAATAAAAAAAAAAAAAAATATATATATGTATATATATAAAAAAAAAATATATATATATATATATATTCGAGTATGCAAATTTAATTTGAATACCAAATAGACAGAAGGAAAAGCTTAGATATTTACTTTGAGTTGAGCACGTTAATTGGCCAGGTTAGCAGAAGAGCGACGGAAATAAAGCTTGATCCACTTTCGTGTGCTGTTAAATTCGTTAAGTACTGCTATTAAAGAGTGTTGTGGATGTTTATCCGGCTGTCTGTCTCATTTTTAATGCCATTATATGCCTAATTGGTTCAATCAAATTGTCTTACAAGTTAATTAGGTACTCAGCAGCTGCTGCCAACCTGAGAAGTAATCTTAATAATCATGTGGATAATTACGACAAGCTCGTTGCCTGACAGACTAAATCACACAGACACACACACACACACACACGCACACACATTGTATGTATGCATAGAATAATAGAGTAGGTTAATTGAGGGTAGAATTGGGTACAGAAGCGCACAGCGCTTGATTATTTAAGTAGATAACTGTGTTTTTCCTAATTCGATTTGGAAATAAAATTCTCATAAACTGTCCCCGGAGGCATTTTGTTTAGTGATTAATTTTTAATGCAAATACTTTAAGAGGCGCACTTCAAGCTTGGACATAAACAATTGACAGTGAGTGCCAAAAATCTATTTACTATGTAGCCGGGACACATTTTAGTGCGCGCCGACAATGAAACATGCTTTTATTTACTTTTGATTACCTGCTTAAGGTCGGCAATAAAAAGAAGCAAACAGTTGCAGCAGAGGCAACACCGCCAAGCCAGATCGAGATCAGAGAGGACCGCACTGGCCAGAGCTGCGAGCAAAGAGGCGACACTGCGTTGGCGGCTAAAGCAGCAAACAAAGCGCCAAAAGAAGCCAACACAACATGGCGCAGGAAGCAGCAAAAACAACAATATGGCCAGCATTTAGCTTCTGGCCAGGTTAAAATACGTATACGCACACATGTAACAATTTATGTGTGTCTGTACGAGGGCCGCACATACAGTTAGTGTTCATAAAATTATTGAAATGCATTGCAAAATTTCATTAATTGTAGAATTTCAAGTAGACAAACTTGACTTATACAACAATTATCCTTAAAGCAATCGAACGATAAACCATTTAAGATTATATAAATAGTTGAAGGACCTCTATTTTGCTTGTTTAAAAGTAACAGGGTATCCACTAGACGGGCACTTCCTACACTCGCAATTGTTTATTTAAAGTTGGATTTGTATTGACTGAGAATGCTTGATAGCTTTTCAGCAGACTTCGATGCGACTGTTCTGGTTACCCTCGCTAATGGCATGTTGTTTGCACACACATGCATGTGAGTGTGGGTGTGTGTCTGTGTGGGTGTGCGCTTGGTGTTATGCCTTTGTGTATAGGTGAAGGTGTCAACAAGGCCTGTCGCGGATTATGAATAAGCAAAGCAGCCAGACGTACACAAAAGCAACAGCAACAGCAGCAGTCACACACACACACATACGACAATACACAGCGGAGTGTAACTGTAAACAAACAATGCATGACCCTCTATGCACACGATCCCATATGCGATCCACGAAGCGATTGTTTGCGCACAAATTATTTATGACAAGCGTTCTCAGCTTTAATCAAATCAATTACAACAACAATGCGAATAATTGCAACAAAGGCAATTGAGTTGAACTCAAAGAACTGGGAACTTGAAGAACTCTAAGCAATCAAAGTTTGCCTTTCAGTTATTTTCTCATGGAAATAAACTTACAAAAATATTTATAAATATAAAAAATTAGAAAGATCACCAACAATCAACATCCAGAATCCAAAAGGTGTTCAAAAATATGTGGAAGGACGAGCTTCTTACCCAAACAGCCTGACGAGGCGTCCAGCTGCTGCAATGAACTAGGAGAAAGCTCAGATGCCACCAACCTCAACTCTTCGAATCTATCAAAGTATCCCCTGGAACAAAAGCTGTGATAATTAAGCCAATTAGCTGTTGCTTCCCCTAAGCTAAGTATTATGTGTTCATTATCTAATATATTAATGAATTTCTGCTTAGATTGAGTTGCCTAAAAGGCAGCAAAGGGTAAGGCATAAAAATAAAATACAAGTTCAAGCTCATTAATGAACTATTTATGTACACATTATATACTAAAAAAAACAATAAGTAAAATGATGAATACATTAATATATAAATGAATGATATTATTCATTTAAAAGAACTATTAATTGCATTCATATAAAAACAAAAAGATTTGGCTCAGCTGTAATTGGTTGTGTTGGGTCTGCTGTTATTGGGTTATTGTCATCATGCCACAAGTGACAGGCACTCAAATGTTGCAGTGACAGCTGCAAGTGCAATTATTGTATTATTATCAATTTTGCATAACATGGAAGTGTTCAACTGTGTCCCTCTCCCTCCCCCTCTCTCCCTGTGTATGGAGTGCTTTCAGTTTTAATTGCTTTTACACAAACATAGTCCAGTTACTGAATGCGTGTGTCCGTATTATGGTGAGTGGGCGTGGGAGTGGCAGTCGGCGGAATAGTTGAATTGCTAAACATATTGACATGCAAAATATGTACGGCATACAAATGGGCTGAGGTTGCCGCTCGCTCGGCAAGCGGTGCGTATGAGTAATGCCATTGCCAATTGTTTAAATACACATATCTGTGGTGAATGTGTGTGTGAGTGTTTGTGTGGGTGATTTTGAGAACATTTCACAGTTACACGTGTTAGAAATAAATACAGCTTCTATCTTCTGGCCAACCAATTTAGATTTGACATTTTTGTTGGAGCAGTTGCTCCAGTTTAACTGCCGAGCACAAAGCACACATTTTGTGTATCCAAACACAAATACATTAGGCCAACAGCTAGCTATATTTAAATTACAATTTGCCAGGGAACAATCGCTTGCCATTTAAAATGCAAACAGATGACAGCATATTGGCAAGCCATGTGCGCTTAGCCAAAATATTTATAAACGTTCCATTTACAGTTATATTTGCACATGCTGATGACTTCAAGTGGGCTTACTGTGAGGCATGATCATATTTAAGCGTCTAGCTATGCAGCAGGTTAACTGCGATGCCTGGTGATCCTAGCTTGAAGTTAATAACGATTTGCCAGGCGAACAATGAATTTGTTTATATTATTTATCTTGCGGCTATCAATCTACAGAGCAGCTCAGAATTTTATTAACTTTTATCAATATATATCTATATATATTATATATATGTTAGAGGCATTTCGACTGCCCAAAATGATAGCAACTCAGCTAAAACGTAGGCTAGAGTGCGCTGTTCCAGAATGCTCGACTAGCTGATACCCTGAAGTCTCCAGTCGATTTTTATCGGTTTGAAATGAAATGCGTTATCGAATAAAAAAATAAACGATATGCTGTTACTGATATCATATGCAGTTTATCGTTTATCGCTTATCAAATTTCAAGTCTCAAATGTCTACGTTGGACGTAGATCGACCTTAGCTCGTCAGCCTGATCAAAAATATATATACTTTATGGGTCTTGTCACGCCTGCTTCTGCCTGCTACATACATTTTTCCATGTTTCCTGAGCTTACAAATCGACATAGTTAAACGAGGGTAGACACGAAGTTTAAAATTCAAACCTATTTCAAGCGCTGTCAATTGTCTAGCCTTGTGCATAGAAATTATTTATAAATAATTAGTAAATATATATCATGGGTATATTAATTATTGTGTTTACCATTAAAGCATTTGAAGCTACAAAGGGCCAATTTGACGAGCATTAAATTACCTTCAGCACATTGCTGATGCACTTAACTTGAGCCAAGCGCTTTGACGCCGTGTTGCTCCGATGTCAGTTATTACCTACGACACTTCACTTTGAACAGCTTCAATGCAGGGGGCGTGGAGCATTAATTTTAAAGTATTCAACAGTTTGGCTGGCGATCGACTTACCGTTTACGTAGGCTGCAAAATCCAGGCGCTGCTGCTGCTGCACGCTGGTGGCTGCAGCGTTCTCATTGGTGTCGGACTCCTCGCTGCTGGCGTCGCGTTTCATCAGCGTGAGTGACGGCGCCTCTGAGTGGATATGACGATGGCCGCTGGCGGCGTTCGTGGCAACGGAAATCGCATCATTTCCGGCCGCCTTGACGGGCTGAGCTGAGCCCGCGAATAAAAGCAGCATCAGCAGCAGCAGCAGCAGCCCTAGCGGGAGCGGCGGCAACAGCCGTTTGGGCATTGTGTGAGCGGGCATGGTGCAACCGCTGCCACTTCCGTCTTCTGGCTGCCGGCTTCGAGTTGAGTTGAGTTCTTTAAGTAATTGCTGGATAAGTGCAAGGAGCGGAGCGGTAAACGGAAACGGAAATAACGCGGCAGCAGCCAAGAGCGACAGCGACGATGACTGCGATTTAAGGTATTGTTGTTATTGGTATTGCTCTTGTTGGCTCTTATTATTGTCAAACACACAGACACACACGCGCACAGGCACGCACGCATACATAGGGCACTCACTGTACTTGGCTTTGGATTCCCCGAGCGGCCATCAGGCGAAAACTTCGACCACAACAAACAACGCAAACAAAAATAAGAAAAAAGAATGCGGAATTCCAAAGACCGTTTTCAAATATTTGATATGCTTGTGGATATGTGTGTGTTGGACACAATGCTCGTCGCTGGCCTAAGCAGAATGCCGACGGTTTGTTAGCGTGTGGGCAATGTGTGACTGCGGATCGCAATCGACGCGTTTCGCACGCCGGCGTTAACGGCCAAGAAGCACTCTGCGGCAGGACACCAAACGCGACGTGTTGTTGCGCGGCCAACGTGCGAGGCGCTATTGAGCCAACCAAAGCGATGGCAGTCCGCACAGAGCCAAGGATTCGCCACTCGTTCAATTCGTCACTTCGAGTCGTGCCGCAGCCGAACGGCCGTTTAGTGAATGAAGCGTTCTCGGCATTGTGGCCCGTTCGGCGCCTGCGCCGGCACCAATTCAAGCCATTCAACGTCAGACAATCCGATATGGATATCAGCAGAACTGCGAACGCCAAATATGTCCTGAACGCGAGTCTAAGCGCGGCAGGAGACGCCGTCGACGTGGCGTGGACGCCGACATGGATGTGGATATGGACGTGAACGTTGACGTTGACGTTGTAGTTCATTTGCTTGCTACGTGCCGATTCCGTCAGCGAAGCGCTGCAGCCATTTGGCCATTTGGCCGTTTGACTGACCTTTTTACGCGACTCGGCCGCAACAGTTAACAGTTGGCTACCCAGCAGCAGCTCCAACTCCAACTCCAACTCCAGCTCCAATTGCCAGCACCCAACACACACACTTTTCATCAACTGCCATCGATGCTGGCTGTTTTTTGCGTGTTTTACTCATTTTAACGTTTGCCAATTGACGGCCTCGGCCAGCTCAGCCCAGCCGGCAATTAAAATATTTGCAATTGGTTTGCCTGCTAATTTGATTAGTCATTCCTGGCTTTTAAGATACGTTTGTAGCGGCGTTCGCTTACGCTCCAATTCGATGTCTGCTGGTGCCGCTGGCAGCGCAATGTTAACGCATCGCCGCACATAATCAACAAATCAACACGCCGCAAATATCCGTAAATATGTTGAGCAAACATTTGCCGCCAAAAATTGACAATTTTCGAGAAAAAGGACGCCCACACACGGCGCCCAATGTCAACACAGTCAGTCACATACATGCACATGTACATGTATGTGTGTGTGTGCGTCCGTCTGTAAGCCTATTTACTACAATAGACACACATATGTGCCTGACTATCTTATGTGGCTACAGTGCTTAGTAGTTCAATATTATCAACTGCCACGTATCACGCTCTCGCGTACGTGAAGATGGCTATATAACAATATAGATACAAAAGTATCTGCAGCAGCAGTAGCAGTGATAAATACATGAAAAGAAAAACAAAAAGCTGAAAGCTAAACGATGCCTCAGGACAGTTGCCAAGGCTTATCATGCTGCCTAAGAGCTTTTCGAGTCTCGAATAAAGTGAATTCAAAATTGAGATACAAAATAGAAATGTAATCAGCAGCTGCTTGCATTTTATAGAGCTTAAGAACTGCATTAAACCAAACATATTAGTGTCCTGAAAAACTTGGTCTGAGCTTTAAGGAAAATGTAATTAGTTCTTAAGCTACTTGGTGAATAAAATCAAATGACTGCCTTAGACTGAGTTAGGCAGCTCAAGACTTGAATGAAATAATTTATTATAAATAGATTTTTTTTTTGGCGTAGTATGGCTTTGAGTTAGCGACGCTGCCTAATTTGTTAACCATTTTACAGCTGTGAAGTTGGTTTTCGTTGAATTTAGCTTGACATTTTATTATAAATAGAGTTGCGCTTGCACATGGAAACAACACTCGATTCATAGAAATGGATTGCATGGGCTGGAGAAGTTGGTCTTGCTATATGTCTTCATATGCTGCTCATAATTGTCATTATTGTGTAACTAAAAGTCAAAAAAAAGCCAAAGTCATATGGAAACATTAATGCCATATAATTTCCTACCCAATAAAGTTTATTTCATTACTATTTCAAATATATTTATCTGTCTGATTACAATTTAAACTTAGGTAAGCCTAAAAAACACCCTTTATATGCGGCGTCTTCTCGGTTTTTTTTTTTAATAATGATATATTATTCATGATATTATATTTTGAATATTATATTTTGTGCTCTTATTAGATACTTGTGGCAACGTTTTTTCTAATCTTCGAAGTATTTAAAAATATAATTGTTTGTGATCTTGTTCAGCTGCTGCCTTGATGCCATCTTTATCTACTCCTGGGCCTTAGACACTGAAAAATCTAATAATTCAACACTCGCCATGCTTCTTGAGCAGACCTCGCTTATGTGTATGAAAGCTGACTAGCCTAGACATGTCGTAAAAATAGTCATGGCACCTGCTGTGGATGTGGCTTGTAGCGACAAGAAAATATTCATTAAATTGCTGCTGGCTTATAAAGTCTACATATTTGCATAGCTAATTAAATGTGTGCTATCAAACATTCCTTGGCAATTACAGGGTATGCCTTAGAGTTCGTTTTATTGCTGCAGATATATAAATGCCTTGATGTGCTCTGATCAATGAGCGTGGTCTACGCAGTTATTTGCAAATTCCTTCTCATGGCTTTTATGATGCATGCTGCTGCTATTACAGGGTATTTTTTGCATTGCATTTTATTCTTCTTCCTCTTCTATTCTATTTAGATGATATTTAAGATCTGCAGCCTAACTTTTTGCTTACGCAATTTAGTTTCGGTTTTCAATCTAAGCTCCTCTCAGGGTATATATAACTTGGCTGCATTGCAAAAGAATATGCATTATATTTGCAGTAGAGGGTGTATACATCACCTGAGATACTCCGATCTAAAGTCTGTAATATACAGCAATAATATATTCAATTGATATTTGCTCTTGCCTAAAGGGCATTGCGAAGTTCAGCGCCAGCTGATGGGGGCAAAAAATTCAGTTCAGTTATTCAATATGTGTCAAGCCTATTTGTGTGGCCTACAGTGTAGAGGCAGCTTGTTAGCGACAACAACAACAACAACAACAAGAACGAAGTGCTATTGATATTTATGTGAGCCCAGCAAGTTAATCTAATTAAAGTTGGCAACTTATTTGCGGCACGTTGTAGCGCAGCGAAGCTAAGTTTTTGTTGCAGTCGATTGTTATTGTTGTTGCTGTGTCTGTTGCTGTTGCTTTTATTGTTATTTGGCAATATTTTGTGCGCCGTGCTGTGTGGTGTTGATGGCGGCAGCTCGTATTCATTATCGCATTACACATTATTATTATGAAGTCCTCCGCCTCTGTATGGCTCTCGCATTCCTGTTTTGATTGCCTTCATTGGCATCTCATGATATAATCATGACGCCAGCCAGAGTGAGGTCAGCCGTAATGCGCTTAGAGCCGTAATTATTCCTATGGCACTCGGTCAGCTAATTGACTGCTGTTGTCTGCCTCACTTCATTTTTACTGTATTCTTTTTATTTTTATTTTTTTTTTGCTCATTTTTCTTGCTTTGTTCGCCTGTCTCTGTTTGTTGTTTTTGCGCATTAGGCCAGTGCATTGGCAGCCGGATGCAGCTGTGAATCCGGATATGAATTGTTGCCCAATAACGACGGACTGTCGCTGATTGAGCAGCTATAAGTGGAGCCGAGCTAATTGCACGTGCAAGCGAACCCCCTTTCACAGTGCGCACAAGGTTTGGCGGGTGGCTTGATGGGTGCATTCACTTTGCAGCTCACCAGCGGGAAGGCTTGTCCTGCTGTCCGCTAATTAGGCAATCATGCATTGTTCAGCCAGATGTAGGCAGAGGGCTCGTAACCCACTTCACTTGCGGCCAAACTCAATTTGAGCTCACATACGAACGGATTTGCAACGACAGCAGCAATTTGAGCCATTATTAGTTTCAAAAGGCGATTGCCAACATCCTTGGGGCATTTTTTGTAAGCATCAGGCTGCACAGTCGTTTCCATGCCACCAATGCCCAGCCGAAGGTAACCGTAGTAAACAATCAATGTTCATTTCGCTTTTGCCCGTGTCTTACAGCTGGGGAATAAACGTGCCCAGAACTGAATTGCGTTAGCAAATGCCACAAACCATTTTTAAATATGCATAACAAATACATTTTTATGTCTATGGAATGAACAGCGGGAGTGAGGGAGAGAGAGAGAGAGGGAGATGGGGAGAGTCGTTTCTAATTTCGTGTTGCTTAAAACGTTATTGCTATGCAAATTTATTAATGAAGAAGATGACGAATGAAACAGGGAGAGAGAGAGAGAGAGTGAGACAGTGCGATAGACAGAGAGAGAGAGAGCGAGTGAGAGCGAGTGAGAGTGAGAGCTTATCTAAAAACAAAGCAAACGCAACTTAAATTTTGCTCTAAGTGTATTGTTTCAACACACAAAAAATGAAAGCTTGGCAAAGCTTAAGGCGCACTCAACCACAGAAGCCTTCCGCACATAGATGCGCCAAGCTCAAGCCTACGCACACACACATAAATACTTGTACATAAATACATGGATATGCTTTCCTATATTTCAATACAAAATGTATTAAGGTACATATACACCCACACACACACACACACACACTTCGATGCTTTAAGCTGATCCTTAAGCGATTTATATTTTATTTGTGTATTTGCTTTGTGCAACGTAAATCAGCTCGTGCCTGGTGAGTCCAACTGTAGCCAGCTTAACGACCTAGGAATGAGCTCTCTCTCTCTCTCTCTCTCTATATATATATATATATATATATATATATATATATATATTTATTTATTTATATATTTAATATCTAATTTTACTTAGTTGCACTTCATAAGCCTTTAAGATGTCTCGAATAAATTTCTGCTTAAACATTTCTAACATAAAAATTATATTAAAATAATATTTCAAATATTTTCTTCATATGTTTTGTGCGCTTATTATTAGTTGAATTCTTGGCTTAACAAATTGAAGGAAATTTCAATTTTTACCTTTGTTTTTATTAAGCGAAAAACTGAAAATTCCCTTCAGATAAAATAGTTGGAATATTTCAATAAATGCAGCAAAACTGTAAGCACAGACAGCACCAACATTTCGATGTTAAAGTCAATAAGTTTTTAAAGTTTGAACAGCCGTCGATGCATCAGCAGCAATCCTTGGGATTATGAGAGCCCACAAATGTTTTGCATACGGCGCAGTAGTGGTTCGTGTTACGGCAGCTATCGACCAAATAGGGATACAGACAGGCGCAGCAGCACCACCTGATTAAAGGACATGAATGAAATGCATAAAGTTCGATTCACGCACTCGTGGTACTCGAACATACCCAATGGAACATAGCCAGAATGCCCAGCAGTGGGTGCGTGTGTTTGGTGTGCAGCGGGGTCGAGTGCGCCCCTTCTGGCCGCAGGCGGGGCACACAATCGAGCAGGCCTGGCCGCCCAGTTTCGGCTGTGGCGCCAGTGCAAAGAAGCCTGGCAAAGACCCGACGATCAGATCACTCAACCTGAATGGCGCTGCAGCTATGCTACTTACTGTGCACCTGCTGCATGCGACCGCGTTCCCTGAGCGGTTCCTGTTGCTGCGGCCTGGCTTCCGCTTTGACAATGTCCATGCGCAGCTGGGGGCAAGGGGCGGCAATCTCATCGGACTGTTGCGGCTCATCCAGCAGTTGGCTGCGCCGTTGCTGCGGCTCGGCAAAGAAGGTGCAGCGACGATCAGCGATGCTTGCGTGGCTCGGCTCATGATTGCCCATGGCATCGTCGTAGGTCGGTGGCTGTTGCGGCTTCGCAGTGGCAGCTGCCGCACTCCGTTCTGCTCGCTCCACCTCGTCTCGCTGGGATTGGGAACCACAAACTGGCTGGCTGGGGTCTTGGCCCTGGTAGAGCATGCGGTGCTTTTCCTCGGCCATGCTCGGCTGACGGCTATTGCCGGCCGTTTAGCTACGCACAAATGGATCGCGCCGCTTTTATCCAGCACTCGATGTTGGCCGGCGATAGCCAAACAGCTGTCGATAAGCGAGGCGTGGCGAGGCGAGGGGCCAAGCATGTGGCAGGGATTCAATTGCTGTTTCAATTGTAACGACGCCAGCTAATTGAGACTGAGCGGGCTTACCTGGCTGCCTCTGGTTGTCACGTCCGAGCATCCGCTCGTCGTCACACGTCCACGTTACGTATGCGCCCCATAAACCGGACCAGTGAATATTGTCAGCATCCGTTTAATTTCCGGCTCATAACTTTTGCAATATGTTGCTCCACGCTGGGCATTTGGCATTCCTATTTGCTTGACCCTTGACATACGTCTGCCACGGCGCCATGAGACTCCTCCAGGGCTGCAGTCTCGAAATCCAAATCATTTTCAAATACATTATTCATTACAATTAATTGTGCAACGACACGGCGCTAAGTTCTTACATCGATCACAAATTGACAATTAATTAAGGTCAAACGAAACGGCAAAGTTCGCGCCAATTCACAAGCCAATTAACATGATTAAGAAGGTATTTAATTAACTGCTTTTTATAGCAAATTTATTCGGATTGTACTAGCTGCTGTCATTGAGTGGAATCGTAGCTCAGTTAATAAGCAGAGAGAGAAAGAATATTTTGATTAGATCTGAACTGAATGTTTGCCAATTAATACTGCCTATTTGTGGTTTATTCTATGTTAAGCTGAGTATCCATAAGGTTTCTATATTTCTATATTTTAAGCGAATAACGTGAATTATGTCAAGTAACTGTCGGAACTCTAACTAAGCAATTAGCTAAAATGCCAAACACATCTATCAAAGAAGCAGATAATAAGGCATTAGTCACTATCTCTCTCTCCCACTCCCTCTCTCTGATGTGCTGCTGGAATATTTCGGTAAATATGGTTTGCCAGCCCTGGAATGGCGCCCAGTTTCAACTGTGTCTACAGCAGTTGCAGGCCGCCCATGTGGCATGGTTTGCTTTTTGGCTTTCGTGTTTATGTTTCGGCAAAGTTTTTCAATCTGTTTTGCGGGTCTTGGCACATGAACACTTCCAAGTGGCAGCGAGGCAGGGATGCAGCTAAAAAAAAAGAAAAATGACAAAAAACCAAAAGAGTAGCAGCAAGAACAACTAGCTGCTCAACTTGCCAACTGATTGAAGTTTCGCAGCCAGATTGCATTTAATCAACTTTAGTAACTCGTTTGCTGATTACTTTTACGCATTTAGGGAAATTTATGCATTTCCAAATTAAACAGGTCGAAACAGAAATGTGTAAAAATATCTAATTTGCATGCATATTTTGTAGCTATGTTAGAGACGCGCCTCGATCCCATATCTATAGCCCACTTATCCTTGTGTATTATATTTTCATATTTTCATATTTTCATATCCCCCCGATGGCAATTGGGACATGCCTTTTTATTTTTCACTCGGCTTTGCATAAATTTCAAGTCCATTTGAAATTCATTTCTCGCTTTGATGTTTGCTTTATTGCATTCCGCTCGTCTTCTTCTTCGGCGCTTCATTTTTTGTGCTGATGTTATTGTGGCTACCGCTGCTGCTCGTGGCTCTGGCTCTGACTAAAGAACTGAAGTCTTATCGATAAATGTGGCAGCAACTGCTGCCTAGGGCCCGACTGTACTAGCAACAGTTGAACAGTTGAACAGCTGTCTATCCCAGGCGCCGGCACTTGGGAACATATTCTGGTATCTGCAGACCATTTGCCAAAGTTGTTTTCGCTTGCGACGCCACGCCACAGTAATATGATGGAAATGTGTTTTCACTTTCTAAGTCGAGCCGAATCGAATAAACAATTCCTCACATTTTTCTATTGGACTTAACAATCAAAATGATAAGAGTTGCGAAAGCAAAGGTTTTTTTACTAGTTTTCAATTAGCTTAGAGTACGCCGAGTCGGGCACAACTGACTGCGCAGAGCTCGCTCACAGCCAAAAAGCTCTGAAGTCCGTCTTTAGTTCTAACTTCAATTTACTTCAACAAACCAGAAGCTATAATGTTTCTTGATCATGCGCACAGCCATTTGTAGATCTATCTGAAGAGCAGATCGACCGTGATCCAGCTGCAGCTTGAGCTCAATGAGTCTAGCTGTTGAAGAGTGGAATGCCAGATGCAGAGCAAATCTGCTAGTATCTAGCTCTCTTGCCCGTTAATATACTCTTCATTTAAGACTCCAAAGTTTACTTGACGAGCATGGAACAGTCAGTTATGCCCGCCGTTAACATAGCAAATTTCTTTCATTCCACGCTGTCGTATTTATTGATCATTGCGGTTTGTGCAAAGTGTGTAAACAATAATTTGTTTAAGTGCAATTAACGGAAAAAGGATTTCGTTTACTACGGAAGTGGACCAGACGAGACTTAAGCAAGGAAGCACCCACACACACAGAGCTAAAACTGCTAAAGTATTCGCAGCCTGTGGAAATTCAACAAAATTTGTTATTAGCAATGCAATCAGAAGAGTAAGAAAAGCTTTGGAAATAAAACCAAAGCACGTGGTTTTAGCAAATAATTTAAATATATATATGCAAGATGTGTATAAGTATTCACATACATTATTTGACAGGGATTTTCTAAGCTGTTGAGTTGTGACTCGCGAAAATTTGTTATTTGTTTGCTTGACATTTGCAATAATGTTGCTTGTATGTTTATCAAATATGCTGCATATCTTACAGATACTTTTATAACTCACAAAATGGAGTCCGAAATGCTTATTGGGGATGCATCAGAATCAGCCCCATTCTCGACAAGTCGTAGCTCTCTAGACTGCACATGGACAGACATGGCTAAATAGACTCGACTTGTTGTCCCGATCAAGAGTATATATACTTAACGGACTCTGCCACGCCTTCTTCTGCCTGTTATACCCTTTCATGCCCATTATCAATTAGTTCTGAAAGGGAATAGTATTTAAATCATAACAGTATATATATTCAGTCAGATTACAGGGTATCATACCTACTACAAAGATAGCTAATGCTACTTATGCACACATCATATAGCTATAAGGGAGTCTATGTGACATGGAATTAGTTAGACATTTATAAATGCTCAAGCAACAGCAGACTTCGCACAGTTATTTTTTTGTAATTTTCCAGAAAGAAAACATTTTAATAAAATGTTAACTTCAGCTTAGAGCAATTCTGGCAAATCATTTGTCTAATTACGCCAAGATACGAAATTGAAAATAGCAAAAGAGATTTTCAAATCACAAGCCTGCGCCCAGGCTGACTGCGACGCGTTGTCGGCTGCGTTGTTAATTTGCTAAAAAATTTTGGCTGTACCTCAGTGTGTGTGTGTGTGTGTGTGTGTGCGTGTGCTGGCTGTGTACGTGAACGGAAGTAAGCACTAAAATAAGTAAATAAAAGTAAAGCGTGGCTGGGGAAGAAAAAAAGTAAAGTAAATGTTCGTTCGTTCGTGTAAAATAGTTAAAGTTATGAGTCAAAGAAGCGAAGGAGCAAAAGCGACTTAGACACACACACAGACCCAGACACTTGAAGTGCACAAAGTACAACAGTCTCTCTGTCTGTGTGTTTGTGTGTGTGTGTGTGTAAGTGTGAGTAATTCACATTTCAAGCACGTTTCGCTTTTATGCTCTTAAATGGCGAGTGTATCTGTGCGATGCCTGCTCCGTCTCGCCGTCTCTCCGTCTCGCCGTGCTCTCAGCTCCCCTTCGTGCTGTGGCAAAACGATAATTTTGTTGATGATGCTATGATTATAAGTTTTAGTCCAAGACCCAAGTCGAACAATGGGCGACCGTCACCACCGCAATCAAGGGTTCAACTAGCGACGTTTACATGTGCGTCAGATTCTACTACGGCTGCTGCTGCTGTTGCTGTTGCTGCTGTTGCTCCTTCAGTTTCAGCTACAGCTTCTCGCATGTCTCTTCCTAGCAATAGTATCTGTATCTATTTCTAAGTAAATTACACACTCACACACACACATAGCAATCTGGAAGCTACAGAGAGGGTCGAGCTATAGAGAGTTTTCTGTAGCCGGGGTCGCATCCTTTTCGCGTGAATGACCCACATAAATAGCCGCGTGCTGAAATCGGTCGTTTTGCTCGCTCCAACTGTTGGTTTTATGGACACGTAGCAAACAAAGAGTTGCTCCGTAACCGACAAAAAAAAAAAAAAAAAAAAAATAAAGAAGCTGAAAACATTTTGTGAAAGGAAAAGAAAACTCTATTCAACTGGATTCCATTGCTGCCACTGATCACACTGCACGGGGTGTAGTATTTTTCATTATAAATTCGAATTGATTTCGCCTCTCTTCTTTTTTACATGGCTCTTTTTTATTTTTTCTTTCAATTTTCTTTCATTTAACGTTACATTTCCGTATTTTCATTGTCTGGCTTCCACTTGTTTTGTGCTGTGTCAGTGGACTACGCTGAACACGCTCTGATATTACAGCATGCACTCAATCACAGTGGCCAAGAGCAAATTAAGCATGTGTACATCTGGCATATGCGACATCAAAGTCCATGGCCTAAAAACTCTAGAAAAAAATGCAACATTATAGACTGAATTCCACATTTCAAAGGCTTGAAGTCGCATTGCTCACAATTACTCTATACAAAAATAACAGAGTCCTTCGACAACTTCTCATCTAACTTATGGTATTTGACTATTAGTAATTATACCTGATCGAAGAGTTATCAGAAGAGCTCAGATGTGCAAAAATAAACATCTTCTTAGAGTGATCTTCATATGTTCTTAGCCTCTTCTGAGCAACAATGAATATTTCTATATAGCCTTATAATTCAAAATATTATATTAGCCAAAGTTCAGGACAAAAATATATTTTAATAAAATTTTGTTGAAGGAAAAGCTATATATAATAGTAGAGAAAACTACGTTTAATGCCTAGCAAAAGCTAAATATTTAAATTGCTCGCTTGTGCCCAAAGCCAATGCATTATCAATGCAACTCTCAACAGTAATGAGTGAAGAATGCTGCATAAATTAGAATGCGAATTTAAGCCCAGTTCTCTCTGGTTGCCGTATTTAGTTCATCTTCGATTCGGACTAACGCTGCGTATGCGTAATTTTTTGTTTATTTATTGCACACATACGCAACGTCAGCGTCTGCTCGTGCTGCCGGCCGCACTATAAATTTCCAACATGACCCGACCATGTCCTCTATTTGGGTTGCCGATTTATTTTTGAACTAATAAAGAGACGGCTGCGACTTGTCGCAATGTCTCTGCAATATCGTTAAGTGGGTGGCGAGCGGCTCCAATTGGCTGGGGCACAAATTATGAGCAGGCTATGCGTTGAACAGGCCCGAAAGCACAATGATTTGACATTCGGGACAAGGCAGCGCTACATGCTTGGCTAACACGTCTGCCTGCACAGCATAACATTGCTACCAAAATAAGTCCAGCCATAAATTTCATTTTAACCAAATGACAAAGTGGCTTAGTGGCAAGTGACCAACTGGGCAACGTTATAGTCAGCCCGAAGTTGTTCTACAATATGTTAGAAGCAAATAGAATATCGCAATCTTAACTGTATCAGAAGAACTAATCAGAATCGGGACTGCTCGACTAGGAGATACCCTGAATCAATCATTCTGTGCGTAGCTCTGCCTATTACAAACACAATGTATAAAATAACTATATAGATATATATATATATATATATATATATATATTTATATATATATATATATATATATATGAAATATAAATGCATAAATTAAATACTGAATACTCTTGACAGCGTGCTTAAATTGAAATAATGATTTACTAATTTAAAACTATTTCGTATGAGCTGCAGTTGTTGTTGCTGCTGATGTGTCCTCGTTTGACTCTGGCTGCTGTTGGCAGTTGTATTAACTGTTTGCTGTTAGGATTTGGCATGCTCATGACCCGTGCCACCCCAGGCCACCGTGCCACACCTCTGGCACGCTCAACCCGTGTCGAGACAATGTGCAAAATGTTTACACTGCACTTGGACGGCAGCTTGTTGTACTGTCACCGAAGTTGTTAACTGTCAGCCCGGCATTAATATTTCAATTTCGTAGCCCTTTACATGAACCGAAGACCGACAGCGAGAGAGACAGTGAGAGAGAGCGAGAGAGAGAGAGAGAGACATGCTGTGCGTCTGTTGATGCAGCGCCCGCAATGACTGCCAACGTTTGTTGCAATCAAGGCATCAATGTCAACAAAACACTTGATGCCAAAAATGAAGATGCTTGCTGCATGCTCCATGCTGCATGTTGCATGCAGACTGACGTTTCTGCCACGACAAAATTAATTTTACGTTTTTGGTGAAAGCTAAAAAACTTGACAAGCTCCGCTTAACTTTTCGCTCAAGTTTCATTGCAGCGGCTGCCAGCACTTGTGTCTGTGTGTGTGTATTGTCTGTTGAGTGGGTGCATGAATGCGTGGGTGTGTGTGGGTGTCTGGCTGAGAGTGCGTGTGTTTAGGTTTTTGCTAAGCACCACGGTCTTGTTTGTTTTTACAAAAGTCTACGCTAATGTTGTTTTTGTTGATTTTGCTCTTCCATTACACTGTTAAACAAAATTAAATAGAACTCAAAAAAACCAAAAACGTGACTCTGCAAAAGACTGAAAATCCACACATAAAAATAACCATGAAATTTGATTTTATTTTCCTTCATTCATAGTCGAGCCCATCCTTGTGTCGAATTCGTTGTTGCACAGTGTTAGTATGCGCTTTGCACTTGTAGCCCAAGCGAAAGACATTTCTATCGAGCAAGTGCCAAGTGGAATTAAAATTAAATTAACTCTTGGCAAAGACATCTTCACATATGACATGATTTCGTACTATAATTATTATAGAAAACATTTTTTTAATACATATATTTTGTTTTATTTTGTTGTTGTTGCTTTTGCTTTCGACATATGCTATAAATGTATTCTAGGGATTTAAAACTTAATGCTTATATGGATGGAATGACGTAACACCAGTTTGTTTGCTTCGTTTGATAAACGTTTCGCAATCAACGTTTATCAGCGCATTAAAAGTGTAAAAAATGTGCTTAAACTACATCATTTAAGAACTATCATTAAATTTAGAACAATAATCGCGAAACGTAAATGATAATAATAATTACTATTAAAAAAAAAAAGGTTTTCAGATACAATTGTGTCTTAAGTGTAGGAAATTTTGGAATAATAATATTACGGTATTTTATTTATTAATGTATTATCATTATCATTATCAATAGTTCAGTCAATGAGTGCGCGTGCTGTAATCTAATAGCACTGTCAAACAAAAATATAAATAATTTTATATATATATATATGTATGTATATAGATCGTGTATAATTAGTCGAGAAATAATTCTTAAGATATATATTTAAATATATATATAAACTTAAGAAAAATAGATTAATTTCTTTTTTTGAGTGTTTCTCTTTTCGAGTCGCAACTATGTAAAAATAGTTTGCGCAGCTCTCTCAGGCAAGGCAAAAGAGCTTCTTCCAGAAAGGCGGCGTGGGCGGCAATGTTGTGGGCACCAAGCCCTCCCAAATGGCTGTATCAAAGACGTCTTTGACTTTGTCCTGCAGCAAAGCAAAACAAAAAGATTTATAAATTAGCAAATGATTTTAGTTAAAAAATATATGTACAATAATATATATAATATAATATATATTTAATATTTAATAATAATAGCAAATATTAAAAAAAATAAGCAAACATTTTTAAGGATACTTTGTAGTGTTGAGATAATTCTAAATATATATAAAAGAGTTGGGCTGAAAACTTCGCAGACTAATGCACAGAGAGCGCTACTTGCATTAAAGCCATAAGATTTTCAGTTAGCCCTAACTTTCAAGTGTTTATCTACGCTATCGGCTTATCAGTTTGTGAGAGAGTGTACTTTGAGTGCCAGATTGTAGAAAATGAATAAAAATGAATTGGAGCAAAATATATATTGTTGAAGATAACTTGATTGATCAATTAATTGATCAATGGAGAAAGAACAACAATGAATTTGACTACGAATTGCTGTTGCATCTTTTGCTTTTCTTCATTTTCAGAGGTCAGCAGAATAATCTATCTACTAAAATAATATATCTGATAAAATAATGAACATCTTTTGACATCATGAATATGAGCTACAAATTACGTAAACGCAATGCAGAAAATGAAAGAAAATTTTTTAATATAATATACTTAAAAAAAAGCTTAAAGACTCGAAAACTTGCAATTAAAATTAAAAGCATTTTTTTTGGATTTATTCAAAAGTGTAAAAATGCACTGCGCATCGTTGTCCCTTTTTGTACAGCGACGAGTCGAAATTTCCCTTGCGTGCTCGGAGTCAGCATTGGCGGCTTCTTGGGGAGCACCGAAAGGTACGAGTGCAATGCACGGCCAATATAAAAAGGTGGCATCCACTTGAAGGAAGTGGTGTGACGGCAGCAGCGAAACCAGCAGAGCTTGAGCCAGCATAGCCAGGCAGGCAGTTGTTACTTTTGCAGTAACCAGCACGAACACCGCACAATTATGATTGTTGTGTGTGTGTGTGTGTGTGGGCGTGTGTCTGCTTGTGGCTATGCGAGGCAAAGTGTGGCACATTACCTCAAAGGCAAACGTCAGGATTCAGCAGAATTTTCCGTTTTTAAGTGTTTGCATACAGACAGCGACAGCCCAAAGGATTTGCTGAATGTGAGTTGTTGTTGGCTTTACTGCTGTTGCTGTTGCTAGTGTTTGTGTTTGTTAGTGTTGGTGTTTTTAGCCGTTGCTGGTGCAATGACTTCCCACAGCATTCGGACTGTCTGCTGTCTGCTGCCTGCTGCCTTCTGCTGTTGCTTTAATTAATATGATGGCGGGCGAAATGCTTAGCCCTACAGCAACGACAGTAGCAACGACAGCGGCAACGGCTATCTAAACATTTCATGTGAACTCACCTGTGTGGCTGAGGAAGTCTCGATGTATTTGGCACCAATTGTTGTTGCCAAGTCCCAGGCGTCTGCATATGAAATTGGTTTCTCGCCATTTGTCTGCTCATCCAAGGGAAAGCGGCACGCCCGAAGCACATATGAAATCAAATAAGAATATCATAAATATTTTAACAATTCGCTGCTCACACACACACACTCGCACACACAGACAAATGAGAATGAAGTCAAGCATGAACTAAGGCGCATAAATAAGCAAAATCAACACGCAGCAAAAAAAAAGAGGAAAAGAAGAAGAGAAGAGAAAGTAAAACTCACCTGCGATTTATTCAACACATTCAAATTGCTCCTCAAGTCGGCCTGGGTGCCCACCAGTATGAGTGCCGCCTTCGTTTTGGCAAATTTGGGAGCCCATTTCGATTTGATGGCCCCGAACGTTTCGGGCTTCACCACCGAGAAGCACAGCAGAAAGACATCGCTATCGGGATAGCTCAGCTCACGCAATGGATCCAACGTGTCCTGGCCGGCGGTATCACAGAGTGTCAAATGCACTGGGCTCTCGTTCACATTGACTTCAACTGCAATTGCATTAAAGAGACGAACAGAGATTAAAACGAGTCTTGGCAAATAAAAAAACCAAGTCAAATCACTCTTGTTGGAACTGTTCGACTAAAAGATACCCTGCAGCCCAACCGATCTGTGTTTTCAAACATTTTGCATTGAAAATGCATTGAAGTTCTTTAGAGTTTGAATCTGACTTTGATTAGTTTGTTGATTTCAAAATTAGCAAATTATAAAATATATATTATAGATTATAGATTATAGATTAAAGATTATAGATTATAGATTAAAGATTATAGATTATAGATTATAGATTATAGATTATAGATTATAGATTATAGATTATAGATTATAGATTATAGATTATAGATTATAGATTATAGATTATAGATTATAGATATAGATTATAGATTATAGATTATAGATTATAGATTATAGATTATAGGATTATAGATTATAGTTATAGATTATAGATTATAGATTATAGATTATAGATTATAGATTATAGATATAGATTATAGATTATAGATTATAGATTATAGATTATAGATTATAGATTATAGATTATAGATTATAGATTATAGATTATAGATTATAGATTATACAATCAGAATATACGGATATATAGTAATACATTTACAATTATAGATTATAGATTATAGATTATAGATTATAGATTATAGATTATAGATTATAGATTATAGATTATAGATTATAGATTATAGATTATAGATTATAGATTATAGATTATAGATTATAGATTATAGATTATAGATTATAGATTATAGATTATAGATTATAGATTATAGATTATAGATTATAGATTATAGATTATAGATTATAGATTATAGATTATAGATTATAGATTATAGATTATAGATTATAGATTATAGATTATAGATTATAGATTATAGATTATAGATTATAGATTATAGATTATAGATTATACAATCAATATACGCGGATATATAGTAATACATATAAATCAATCACTTCGCCAGGCCAATGCAAGACTTAGTCTAAGTAGAAGACATTAATTTTGGTTCGAAAGTCTTTCCACTAGTGCTGGGAGTGCTAAGCTGCAAGCAGACGCTGAGTTATACCCTTACCATACACACGCATGTCACACGAGTCAAAGGCAGTTTCAGTAATTTAATTACAGGCTACACATGAGGTCCGATTGCATAATATTTAAAAGCCGTGCGTTCATTCAAGGTACATTTTTCAGGTGCATTTATTTTTGATTGATTTTCAGTTGGAATTTAATTTTAAAAGCTCCCCAACCCATGACCCATGACTTGCCGCACATTTTTGGCATCGCATACTTCTCAGCGCAAACACGCATACATATATATATACATGCATATATACATATATACTTTTACATACATATATACATTTATATGTATATATATATATATTGACTAATACGCCCTATGACCCACCCAAACACTAACCTACTGAGAGCCAACTATGCCAGGCATTCACCTAAGCCATTGTGCTGCACTTAACTTTAGACAGACCTGCTGCCAAAACCTTTGGCTAACATATTCGGACCGCATCCCAGACATCGCAACGAAGAATGCTGATAAACTATTGAAGACCCCAAAATGCTTTTAGCCCTTGCACACACACGCACGCACACACGCACACACGCACCCACATGTAATCGCAAGTGGTATGCATTGCATGACATTTTCAAAAGTATTTCCCATAATATTTTACTGAAGAAGAAGAAGAAGAAAAGCATCTTCGAAATGCAAAACATTAAATTCTCTTGTCGAAATTTAAGCGAAAACACTTCGATTTAGGAAAATAAAAATATGAACTATTCAATTTACTTAGCTTATACCGAGCTTGCATCCATACAATCTTTGGCTCTTCTATAATTTGGTATTTGATATAGAAGTACAGAAAGGTTAAAGGTCAATTATGTCCAATCGCATATAGCTGATTCGATGTCACTGTTTGAGGATGCACATGCAAATAAGAGCAGATCTACGGCATGTAACGATGGAACCTCTGTGCATAGGCAACACATGTTAGCTACTTAGAATAAGACTGGAAGTGGATGTCATATATTCTCATGAGATTTCATGATTGTAAAGGTTTAACTTAGCCCCAATCGGGCACAAGCTGTGTCATTAATTTGACAATTCATTAAGCATTTCGCATATAGTGCTCTATACAACTAGGAACTATGGATTACATTATATGGCCGATGCTGCTGCTAAGCCAAAAGAGCTGCAATTATGTTGCCCACTTTTAGTCAACCTTCAGCCATGTTCCGCCAAGCAGGCTGCACGTCAAATATATCGAAAGCAGTTCGAAAGATGCAAATACATTTGAACACAAGTAAAACATACTCTGGATCGTGTGTGTATTTTGCTGACATGTTTATGGTCATTGCTCCGCTGCTGCTTGGTCTTCTCTATTTTTGTGTATTTGCTCCACAACACATGCATGATTAAGTATGCAGCTATGTAGCTGCGGTTGCAGCAGCTACATCTGCAATTTGGTAGCATGTTGCAAGTTATTTGTTTGCCACGAGAAATGTTGTTTGAAATGCAAATGCGTCCAGCTCGAATGGGATTTTGTATGAGCCGAAAATATGCATTGCCTTCGGCTACTCGGCGACTCGACTGCTCGACGACGCTTACAACTTTAAAGCTTGATTAGTGCAGATTTATGTAGTTCGGCAGGCAAGCCGCTTGCCACCTAAAAGTATGCAACATATTCAGCTGGACGCCATTTTCTTTTTAATTGGTTTCAGCATGCTAGCACGTGGGTGTCTGTGTGTGTGTGTGTGTGTGTGCCGCGCTCTGCTTGCACTGGCAACAATTATGATGAGCCAGTGGCAAGTGAATTAGCAGCGCATGGTAACCATGCCCACACACCCAATTGCGTATTATGCGCTTCTCTGCGTCTGCCTCGCTCTCGCTCTCTCTCTCTCTCTCTCTTGCTTTCTCTCTGTGTGTGTTTAACATGAAAGCATTTCATTCATATTTTAAGCGCGTGCAATATGATTTCAATTGCGACAGAAAATGCTGCCCTCAACCAGACAGAGCATGGGAGAGAGCAAGAGAGAGATAGTTAGAGCGAGAGCGAATGCATTTTAGCTTGTTTCTCATGCGCCGTCGAGCATATCTGACCTCACGTCTTTGGCTAAGCTGGGATCCCAAGCCACACAGTCATTGTGTGTATGTGTAGACCCTATCTAAAAGTTAATCATGACTGCCTTTCAATGCAGCTGCTGCTGCCACCGACGCCGCTGTTGTCGCTGCTGCTGTTTACGCTGCGTAAATAAAGTTGCTGCTACCAGTTTTTAATCAGCAGGTCGCCGAAGGTCGCCCACATGCCTCATGTAAAATAAATTTTATTCTTCAAGCGCATAAATTTCATGAATGCATTTGCAAAGATGCCAACCACAACGAACTACAACTACTCGACTACTCCCAGGGCCAGCCCCAGTCCCAGTCCCAATCCCAGTCTCAGTCCCAGCCGAGCTGACGCTAAGCTTCTGCATCAGGATGAGGCATTGTTTGTTAAGCTAAAGAAAAAGCGCACTCTTATGGCATACTGCAGCTTGCCACAATGCGTTACTGTTGCTGCTCACGCATACCCTGTACTACTAAAGTCCTTATATAGATTTCCGATCGATTTCAGTTACAAAATATGCCAAAAGCTTGGCAACTGCCTTGCCATATTCTGTAAATTTATGATAAGTAACTGGATTTGCTGCCTTTGTTTGGCTTTCAAGCTGGTTAAACTTTAGCTTAAGCCTAGCAACGCGCCACTCTGCGTTACTACAGGGTATTCTCGCAGGTAAAATGCTGAACAATACAGCATAAAAGAGTCATGGACAAACGGTTTTCTTTGCGAACGCCTTTGACTGGTCGGACAAACTTGACTGAAAGCGCTCTGCATTGCTATCTTCTCCAACCAACATCCAACAATTGTTCTCGCACTCGACCTTTGCCGTGTGGCTCTGAAGCATATGTGCAGCTCGACTGCCACTTAATCGAAAATCGGATGAATTTTTATTTTTTCCGCAGCACCTTGGCAATTTCTTAAGTTAAGCACTTGGTGTTGGCGCTGCTCTTGGTGTGGTGTGCTCGGACACACCCTGTAGCTATATACATATATGTATTTATATGCTATAATTTTGATTTGTCTTGCGTTTCACTTCTGCAGCGGCAGCATTTAAGTATTGCATACTTTGGGGGGCATAATTTAGGCTCTTTTATGGCTCAGCTCGGTGGCTTATTAATCGATTATCGATTTCGGTATGCACATAAAAGCAAAATACGACCAAATAAAAGTTGACTTCACGCATTTAACAGCGCCGCTTCGAACAAAAGCGCCACCCAGCGGCCAAATGGCGCATAACAAAGGAAGACAAAGCGTTGTTAGCGGTTGCATAGCTTCTACAGTTAAAACCGTGTATATGTGTGTGTGTGTGTGTGTGTGTTTGTGAGGAGGCCATGTCATTGTGTGTGAAATCGTTTCTTGTCGGCGGTGCCTATTAAAAGCTAGTCAAGCGCTTGGCTGGCTTATTGAAACCTAATTGAGTCAGTCGTTGTCACTCACTCATTCAGTCAGTTTATCAATAGCGCAATAAAATGCTGAGAAATTGGTACAGCTCTCAATTAGCTTTCGGTTTTGTTAGCAGTACTGGATGTGACAAACAATACGACAACGTCTGCAGGCCTTACCCATGGCAGTTGCGTAGTAAGCAAAGGCAAATGTGAAATTGTTTTTGCTACGTACTCAGGGTATTTGCTAGTCGGGCTCTGGCTTGCTCTTGATATTGCTGAACATTGAATATTTGATACATAGCTGCCAATGGTACATTAGTACGATATTCCGTGTTTGGGTAAGACTGCTCTAGTCGAATGTGCTCGACTGGCACATACCCTGTTATAGATACAAAAACTAGACTCACTTTAATATATATACTCAGTGATTCTTAGTTTAAAATCGACTTTAATCGATAGTCATCGAACTATCGATCAGTTATAGATCATAGATGTAGAAACGTACATATAGATCTAAGCTAGATTAATATCTATGACAACGCCCTATTGTTCAGGGTATTTTTCCGTCGTTCACTAACGACGCACGACGCAACTCCTACGTAGTACTTAATTTTGGTAGGTGCAGTTAATTAAAGTAATGAGTTTTGATGGATGGTTATAGCTGCCTCGGCTGCTGCGACAAGTTGTGTGCTCGCTCGCTCCACATCCAAATCCCCATCCATATCCATATCCATCTCCATCTCTATCCTTGTCTCTCCTTCTTTCTAGTAGGTTGGCATTTGATAATTAGTTGAGCTATGTACAAAAGTTAGATGCATATAGGATGTAACTATGCAAAAGCCCTTTGCAAATATGCAAATCACACCGGCGTACATATATGTACGCATGTATGCATGTGTGTGTGCACATACACACATATTATGCAAACTTTCATGCACTCTTGATGCTGAAATTAGAATCCCATCATGAATTTGCGAGTGTTTGCGTAGTGAGTGGCGTGAGTGCGCGTATTCGGCAAATGGCGCACACGGCGTATGCGTAATAAGTGAAGAATCAACACATAAACAAAAGTGGCGCATCATCAAGTGGCGCGATTCCTTGAAGTGTAGCAACAGCATTTCGGATTAATAAAACCATCAAAACCAGGAATAATAAACAATTCTTTGCAAAGTGCTCCTTATGCATGGAAATTAGAATTTTCCTCTCGCTGCCCTTCTGGGAATATAATTCCCTAAATTAAAACATGATTTGATCGGCGAACTGTTTGCCACCCATTTATCTCCGCTTGGGGTAATAAAAATACTCTTTGAGTTAAGAGCCAGAGCTTGAGGAAAACTGAAAGTTGCTTTCGATCGAGGCAGACAGAACTAGATGGACGATCTGGCTATATCTAGTCATATGTTTGCTATATTCAATTCTAGAAACGTCTAAAGCTTAGCTGAGTTCGCATTAAAGCGTCAAGTTTGGGTCTTTATCTGAATCTGAAGGGTGAGCTCAGAATCAGAGCATTGCGGCACAAAATAAGTGCACGCTCATGCAAAATTTATTAGAGTCCGACGTCAAGTGGCAGCTTTGAGTGCCGCATTGGCTCTGGCGTGTATGTGTATGTGTTCGTGCCGCAACATGAGTATTTCTGTATGTGACTGTGTGTTTGTGTGTGTGTGTGGCACAACATAATTCAATCACTTGCAGTGCAAGTGCCTACTAGTTGAGGCCTCAAATGCTAGAAAAGATGGCGGCCACAAAAGGCAAAGGCGCTTGCCATTTTATATGATCCCAGATGCGATGCGCCTGCTCTTGTTGACGCTGCTGCGGTTGTTGCTATTGCTGCTGCTGCTGCTGATGATGATGCTGATGCTGATGCTGCTGCTGCTGCTGTTCTGAATAACCGCAAATTTCAATTTTCCGTTCATTAAAATTCGTGAATAGCACACATGCAGAGCTCAATACACACACGCGCACCATATAACACACACACACACACACACACACACACACAAACACACACATGCACACACACTAACTGACACTCGCATATGGGATGAGAGCGCGCAAATGCGGAAGCAGTGAAAGTCAAATGAAGCTGCCTTCCTGCGCCTGGCTTGCACAGAAGCCGTGGCAAGTGTGGGGCAGCCAGCCTGCAGGCAGTTGAACATCATTTTCGCCTACTTCCGTCAGCTGAGACTGGCCCACAGTCGAATGCCGAGCACGCCGCATCCTTCACACGGAAACTCAGTAAAGATTTCCCAAATTGGTTTTCAACAAAATGAAAAATTCATATACGCGGCAGTCAGGGCAAAAGAAAAAAGAAAAAAAAAGAAGAAAACCAGCCGAAGGTCGTGTTTGGGTTGAAGGTATTTGCTTGCTTGTGTCTTTGAGTGTGTGTGTGTGTGTGTATGTGTGTGTGTATGTATGTTCATCGAAAAATGCCGTTAAGTAAACCTGTTGAAAAGCGCAGTCCACAGGCGGCAGGCTGACTAGCTGACTGGCTGGCTGGCTGGGTGGTTGGGTGTCAGGCAGGCAATCAATATTTTCACAATTTTCACGGGTCTCAACTTACCGTTATAAATATCTGATGCCGTCGGCACATGCTCCGGATTGAATCGGTTCTCCAGATATGACAAGATCAAATTGGTTTTGCCAACAGCGCCATCGCCAACAAGCACGCATTTGACTGAAGGCTGTGTGCCGCGTTTAGCTGGATATGTAAACAGCAGAGGGAGAAAGAGAGAAAGAAAGAGACAATGAGATTATTTGCTTGCAAATTGCAATTAATTAAAAACAAAGTACAACAGAAAGGGAAACAACAAACAGAAAAGCAACAGCAACAAATACAAATGATGGCAATTTGAAAACTTTGCATCACTTTGCACTTGGCGCCACTTTGAATGGCTGTTGGTCGGCCATTGTTGCGATGCAATTCATTGCCGTGTCTTACCTTTGTGCTCGCCATTCGCAGCTGCTGCCGCTGCAAGTGCAACGCTTGGACTTTCCGCTGTCTTCTTCGATTTGCGTTTCCGCAATAAAAACTTTGCACCTTTGCCGCTGTCCGCACTCGTATCGCTCAGCGATTGTTGCTGCAATGAGAAAACAAATTTCGTATTTTATTGAACGAGGCAGACTCGATAAACAGATAATGCAAACGCCCCAGCACCAGCCATCCAAACAACGCCAAAGCGGCGCCAACAAATGGATGAATGCCGCTCCAAACTTGGCATTGACATGACATGAGCTGTCGATGAAGTCAAAGACCATAATCTAGCTAATGAGCGAAGACAAAGCTGCTTGAATTCTGTAACTTCGTAAGGCAAAAACTGGATGCAGCATCTGCCCAAGAAAGTGCAGCAAAGGCATTCGGCCACATCGGTCTAAGTAACAATCTGACTGGCAATGCATAAAGCAACTTTACATACCTGAACCTCAAATAATATTTTTGTATTAATACTTATTAATTAATCTCATCACATGATCATTCTAATTATTATTGAAATGATTCTTTACGCGCTCGAGCTTCGCTGTTTCATCATTTCTCTATTATTTCATAGCTCATTTGACATGTTTCAAACTTTCATGCAGAAAGCCTTAAAGCTTTGTCCTCTTCAAAAACTGCATACATTTCGTGGGAGTTTACTTAATTATCAAATTGTGCACTGATTTGCGCTGGTGTTAGACAACGCTAATTCAATTCCGCTTTGAAGCGTGCCAAATGGCATTGCGTCTGCGAAACAAGCGGAAACAAGCGCACGAGACTGTCAATTAAATAATAAAAGCCATCAGATTGAAACGTTTTCTGCATGTATATGAGGGTGTGTATGTGTGTGTGTATGTATATATATGTGTGTGTGTGTGTGTTTTTCTGTCATTGGGTGTGAACTAATTCCAAGCGCAACACTTTACGCCGCTCGGGCTAATTTAATATGCACATATAAATTAGTCAAGACGACAGACGACGACAGCCAGCCGCAAGGCAATGCAATCTTGACGACAATAGCAACAAGTACCACAACAACAAAAGCAACAACAATAACAACAACAACAGCTATTAGAGACAGGAACATGGCGAAACATTTGACGCATTGCGTATACGACAGCGAGGCAGTTCATATAGAACTCGTACTAAACCTAACTCGTCAGACAATTGTTAAACTTTTGTCTCATCTGGGCTGCTAATTGGTTTAGCAGCAGGAGCAGCCGCAGCCGCAGCCGTCAACACGCCCACAAACAGCAGCTGGAAATCCGAATTAATTAAAATTCAGATTAAAAATAAAAATTCGCTCTGTTCACTGGCATTTGGCAAATGTTTTGATTTATGTGCTTCAGAAACATTTACTTAAGCTAGCGTATTTCATGAAATTAACAGCTGCTGCTAACTGATCAACAATCGCAGCCTGATTTAATAATGGAAATCAAATTGTTGAAACACAAAAAACATTTTCTGGCCAAGTTTATTCAATTAAATTTTATTTAATTAAATTTAGTCGCTTCAATGGTGTCCAGATGATTTTAATTTGAGTGCCACAAATAAATCAATAAACGTTGTTAAAAAAGGTCATGTTCGAAAAAACATATTAAAATTAAGCCAGGCATAAAAAACTAAATTAAATATATTGAAATATTTATTTTAAAAAAAAATTATTTATTATTTATTATTATTTTTTTTCTACTTATTTATTTATTTAAATCGCTTTGAACGGCCATGAGTGAAAAGAATTTGCTGAATTTGTTTATCAAAGACCTGTCCGTGCAGCACTGAAAGTAAGGGACAGTTAAGTAGCTTCATTTATTTAATAATGTTGTACTTTAAGGGCTCATTGCTCGCAGCATAGTACAAACAAAGTGAAGAGAACTCCAAGACTCTAGAGCTTGGGCGGATGTTGAACATTTAATTATGTTAAAGTCCAGATTTAGTTCCGCATTTTTTAAAAAAGCAACAATTTCTCTTTCTTATAAGCAAAGAATAGAATTTGTTGCTTAATCCAATTCTATGCAATTGAAACTTTTATTGATTAAATATTATGCAACTGTTGCATACATTATGAGTACACTACTTAACAATCATTTGTTGTATCAGAGATCTGAATTTGTTTGCGAGCATTTTAGCCCAATTTAGATGCATTTTACAAAAACACTTCACCAACTTGAAGAGAAAGTGTCTTTCGAGTCGTTCTGTCTCTGCATTCAAAGATAAAAGGATTCAGCCTGATAAGCTTACATCATAAAATTGAAATGTGGACGATGAAATTTGATTGTTCAAAAATAAATTGAATTTAATTAAATTATGGTTTTTTTTTTGTGTTTACATTTTAAGCTTCGATATACAGCATTGTTCATAGGAATAGTAGTGCGGCTCAGCTCAAAATGTTTGAACAACATAATTGAGAACAATTTGAAATAAATATTGAGCTTAACATATTTATGCCATGAAAACTGGAAACCATTGAAAATTTATGTAACAGGCAGACGGCAGACGCCAGAAATTATATATATTCTTGATCAAGATGGCAAGCCGAGTCGTATGTGCAGCAGCATCTACAAGAGCTAGAGACTTGGAGGTTCGAGCATAGCACGCGCATATAAGTAATCGATAACTACTTCCGTTATCGATTAAATATGATCGAAATGCAGTTAAGTTATTTATTACATTCTTCTAGAATTATTCTGTTTTGCTTTACAATGCCCAATTTAAAAGTTTAGTTTCATGTTTAACAGAAATGTTAAAGTGCAGTGCGTATATTGTTCTGATAATTGATAGTTAATTAATGCGACTGATTAAACGTTATATCAAATCAATCATTTTACGCTTGCCTCTCACAACAAGAGCTCGGTGTGCCATCATTAGGTGGTCAGGCTTTGACGTCGGCTTAAACAGCATGCAGCCTCAACTGTCTATCCTGCCACCTTGCCGTCGTGTAAGCTCGTTTCCTCCTGTAAATACACTCGTAACTACACAAGTATTTACAGCGCTATCTAAATCAATATCTAAATTGCTGTGCGTCTGCGAGTCTTATTTTGGGAGGCTCTCCCGCAACCGCCCCGCCCTCGCACCCATAACACCACCGCACTCACGCCCTGTTGAAAGGCTGTTGCCTCTCACTCGCTTCAAAGTTGACGGCATTTTCCGCTTGTTAGGCGATAATATCACAAGCCACTGCCAAACGAAATGGCTAAGAAAGTTGGCCCTTACGTGGGCTGAAGTGGCCATTAAGCTTTAAGATGTCCCACCAGATATAGCCAAAAAAAAATATATATTTACACGCATTCATTGCAGAATTTAAGATTACAAAATGATTTGCTCAGTTGAGTTAGAGTTAACTTTGTTAAATTAACCCAAGTTTATGGCTGGACAAATATCACAGAGCTCTGCTAAATGCATTCCTAATAAGTTAATTGAGCCAAATTAATAAGAACAGAGCACTGAAGATATATACTGGCAGTCGGTTGCTCATGCGAGGTACTCCGTGCTGCTGCAGGCTTTGTTCCTATTACCCAGGCAGACAGTCTGTCGTCTACACTTTCAAGTTAAGAGAGATAAATTTATATTTTCGTTCTCATTTATTTGCAATTATAAAGCATCTACCTTTGAGTAAGTCCCACAACTATTTACCTTTAAGACTCACAGACTTATGCTTTCATTCATAAGCCATTTCTCCATAAAACAATATAAAACATATAAAGTTTTAAATAAAATCCTTTAAAATCCAATGCTTTACAAAAACAGGAAATTATCGCTGATTGAGCTATCTTGATAAATATTTTGCCACTTCTGTTTGAAAGCTTTTTACTGCACTCGTTTATAACTTTTTTCTGGCATGGTATACTAGCTTAATTAAGTCTTATTTAAAGTTGGGGTTGACAATGTTGAATAGAAAAAAAAAATAGTATAATTACAGCTCGAATGACATACAAAATATGCAGTATTATATTATATCATATGCAGAACGTGAAGGGTGGACTATACAAACGAAGCACACTGTATATAGAAACGACATTTAGATTAGCATCTCATTTCGATATATATACATATTTATACTTATATACATATACCAGAAAGGAGTGTTTTATCTGTCAGGGCAAAACGTATCAAGAAATATTGAAATATTGAAATATTGTTAGACATTAGAGCAAACAAATTATTCTGTGCCCATTTAAATGTTTATTGACAGAAACTGCACAGAGCGAAACAGTTTTGCAATAACCTATCTAGATTCATTCATGCATTCTTAATGAAAATCTTCTATATACGAGCACGCATACATACATACATATATGTATACATATATACATAAATACATGCATACACAAATACTTACACCAGCCAGCAAGCTTCATTCTATGAACTTTTTATTTTTCTATAATGAAAATACTTTAAGAGTTCCATGTTTAAAATTTTAAAGACGAAAGCCAAAGCGACTTACTACGATTTAGCCACACAGCATCTCAGCTCTTCAATGTATGAATATAGATTGCGTACTTATGATTATTATTGATTTTAAAATTACATTTTGGGCTAGAGACAGAAGCTAAATATGTAAGCCTCAATATTTTAAACAGCCATGGGAAACTTAAGCGACTTGAAACGAAAGTTTATTTTCAGATTTTTGCAAGTTTTTCACTTTGAAAATCGAACAAAACTTTAGCACCTGTGTGTGTGTGTGTGTGTTTTTTTTTTTAAGTAAACTTTTTTGGGTCACGTTGCTGAACAATGCCAATTAGAAGGCTTAGATTCGACAAATTCTGTTATTTAACATGCTGTAATCATATTTGCTGCTACCCATATTTGATATGTTGTTGTTATTGAGGCATATAGCAATTGTTGCTGCCGCGTTGCTTTTGCTGTTGCTGTTGCTGTTGCGTGTTTTGCAACATTGTCGGTAACCTCGTTCGCTTGCAACAACAGAAACGAAATTGAAGTCTATTAAATGGCATGCCACTTATTGCATCATAGAGTTTGCGCTGGGTATACAGTGGAAGTAGACGCAGGGGAGCGTGTGGCAAGGAGACCGCAATACTAAATAGTTGCAGGCAGCAACGACAATAAATGTTGGGCCAAAAAAAAATAAAAACAAAATAAAAATAG